TGTTAAAGACAGGATATGCAGAGAAAGTGCCAACTGAACAGCTAGATCGGCGAGACGGACAGGTATGGTACATACCTCATCACAGTGTTTACCATCGTCAGAAAGGAAAACTAAGAGTTGTGTTTGACTGTGCTTCATCCTACAAAGGCACATCTTTGAACAAAGAACTCCTCCAAGGTCCTGACCTGGCAAATACTGTCATTGGAGTTCTACTCAGGTTTCACCAGGAACAAATAGCTTTCATGGCAGATATTGAGGCAATATTCTATCAGGTGAAGGTTAATGACAACCATAGGGACTTCCTCAGGTTTCTGTGGTGGCCTGGTGGAGACACCAACAAACCCTTGGAAGCCTATAGAATGAAGGTTCGCCTCTTTGGTGCTGTTTCTTCGCCTAGCATTGCCAATTTTGCTCTAAAACAAGCAACAGAAGACAACAGCTACAAGTACGAAAAGGAGGTAACTGAATCAATCCAACACAATTTCTACGTTGACGACTGCCTCAAATCAGTGGCCACAGTAGATCAAGCCATCAGGCTTATCAGAGACCTCAAAAAAGCTCACTCTCAGGGAGGCTTCTCATTGACCAAATGGGTCTGTAATAGCCACCAAGTTCTGAGGAGTATTCCTGAACATCAGAGAGCAAAGAATCTCAAGGAACTAAACTTGGACAGAGAGAAACTGTCTTGAAAGGGCTCTTGGGATCCAATGGAATACTGAATGTGATTCTTTCACCTTCAAAATGGCCATCAAGAACAAAGCCCTCAGGAGAAGGGGTATTCTTTCCATGGTTAGCTCAGTCTATGATCTGTTGGGATTCCTTGCCCCTTTCATTCTTAAGGCCAGGCAAATACTCCAAGAACTCTGCAAATTAAAATGTGGATGGGATGAATCATCCCAGGAAAACTGGCTAAGCAATGGCAGATCTGGGTTGTAGGTTTGGATCAGCTCAGCAAGTGGACAGGTGTATAAAACCTGGCAATTTTGGCCCAATCAGGACTACAGAACTCCATCACTTCTATGATGCGAGCGAATTGGGTTATGGAACTGTGAGTTACCTCAGGTTTACAAATGTTGCTGGACAAGTACATGTCGTATTCATTATAGGGAAATCCAGGGTCACTCCTCCCAAACAGATTACGATCCCCAGGTTGGAGCTGACAGCAGCGACACTTGCTGTAAAGGTGGACAGGATGTTGAAAAGAGAACTAGAACGTGTAGAAATCAAAGACTCTATATTCTGGATAGACAGCACCTCTGTGCTAGGATATATTCATAATCATACAAAGAGATTCCACACTTTCGTTGCCAACAGACTTTCAGTGATCCGTCGCCTATCTCAAGAAAAACAATGGAGACATGTGGGCTCTAAAGACAACCCAGCAGACGTGGCATCACGTGGGCTGCATGCATGAACCCTTCCTAAAGTCAAGATGGCTCAAGGGTCCCAAGTATCTGAAACTGCAAGAAACAGCTTGGCCAGAGACCCCTAAGGAATTGGGACAAATTCCTCCTGATGATCCAGAGATAAAAAAAAAACAACAAGGCATCTGTTAATAGTCTAAGCACGGTGGAGAAAAATCCAACCAGCAAGTTGATTGAGTATTACTCATCATGGAACAGACTACATAAAGTTGTTGCTTGGATCTTAAAGTTAAGAGAACTTCTTTTATTAAATCGAAGAAAAAAATCTGCACAAACTGACCTAAACTCCAGCTGGACATCTGCAAAAACCCTGAAAGACAAAATGAACCTGTTAAAGATAATCTGTGAAGTACAACATCTGTCTGTAGGAGACATGAAAAATGCTGAAAGGTCAATCATTCTGATGATTCAATGAGCAAAGATGCTTTTTCTCACAGGAACTCACACTCTTAGAAAACAGAAGGAAAGTGAAAATGAGTAGCGCAATCTGTAAACTGGATCCAATGGTGGATGAAGGCATGCTGAGAGTTGGAGGGAGAATAGGCAAGTTAGCAATGCCTATAGACTTAAAGAATCCAATTATACTACCCAAAAACTCTCACATATCCAAACTACTACAAATATCCATCTGCAGACTGGGCATTCAGGGAGAAGCCACATGCTCTCCAGACTACAGCAAAGATTCTGGTTGCCTCATGATAACTCATCTGCAAGACGGATCATTAAGAACTGTGTCCTCTGCCGACGCATGCAAGCGAAGGTTGGCGAGCAGAAAATGGCTGATCTTCCGGAGGACAGAGTGTCTCCAGATCTACCACCCTTTACACATGTGGGTATTGATTATTTTGGACCTATAGAGGTGAAGCGGGGCCGGTCAAATGTTAAACGCTGGGTGTTATCTTTATTTGCCTGGTGAGTCGAGCTGTACACTTAGAAGTGGCAAACTCATTGGACACTGACTCCTGCATTAATGCTCTGCGCAGATTCATGTGTTGCAGAGGAACAGTGACAAGCATCCGCACAGACAATGGGACACATTTCGTGGGGGCACAGAAGGAGCTTAAAGACACTCTGAAAAAAAGTGATCATCACAAAGTGATAAATGCATTACTGAAGGATGGAGTAAAATGGATATTCAACCCACCATTTGAAGCCCATCACGGTGGAGTGTGGGAAAGGCTAATCAGACCTGTGATTCTTTACTCTGTCTTAAAGGAACAAATACTGGATGATGAAACTTTACAAACAGCACTATGTGAGGTCGAAGCAATAATGAACGATAGGCCGATAACAACAGTGTCAAGTGATCCAAACGACCTTGAACACCTTACACCAAACCACCTCCTTCAACTCAAAACGAAACCAATCATGCTGCCTGGACTCTTTCAGAAGGAAGACCTGTACTCCCGGAGAAGATGGAGACAGGTACAGTACCTAGCAGATCTATTGCGGCGGAGATGGATTAGAGAATATCTTCCAATCTTACAACAGGGAAACAAGTGGCTCCACCCCAAAAGGAGCCTTTGCCTGAACGACCTTGTCATCATAGTGGACAACACAGCACCAAGGAGCTCTTGGCTCCTGGGCTGTGTTGTAAAGACATTCCAGGGGTCCAAAGGGCTCGTCCGGAGCGTCTTGGTGAAAGCCAAGAGCAGCATCTTACAGAGACCTGTTGACAAGCTCTGCCTGCTCTTGGAGGCAGTTAATTAATTACAAAGGTGCTGGTAACCTCTTGCCCCCCGAGAAATGTATACAAACATAAACACACACACCCTGACTCTCGAGCTCAAGCCCCCTTACATATATACATAAATGCTTCTTGCATATCTTAATATCCTAAAGTTGAAGGATCACATGAACCATTATGAACTATTATGGACTATAGAATGTTTGAATGTATGTTGATAATGTATGCAAAGTATTTCTAATTCATGTCTTTTGGCCCAATTGAATGTATGATAGGTAATTGTAGACAATTAGGGGCCCCTAATTGTAAACAATTAGGGGCCAGTATGTTGGGGCCAAATGGCCATATGAATTATTTACAGTTAAAATGTTTATATCATTGTTTATTCTGGCTTATTTTGGTTTTAGCTTTTGTTAATTGATTTGGGGGTATTTGTGCTTAATTTCTCCCTCTTTGGGGCGGAGCCGAGGCTTATCGGCAGTGTGGTGAGGACACCTGGGGTGAGAGTGGGGAAGCAGAACAGTCTTTTGACTGCAAAGGGCCGCTTAGGATATACGTGATATAGCGATCTGATTTGTTTATTTTATTTTGTGAAGTTTAGTTTTTGCTGAAAAGTTTTCTATTAATAAATGTAACTTATAAGTTGACTTTGGATCCGCGGCTGCCTTTTGTTTTTATTTGATAGAGTGTTAAACCCTTTTCTAGCAAATGCCACCCAAGTAGAGAACATCTCAGGACCACGCTACAAAGACTACATACCAGGATGTTTTAAACTTTTGAGTGGGTGTCTGTATAAGGACATTGACATGACCTGATGTAATCGACGATGTTTGTTCTAATTTAACCTTCAATTTGTATTGTTATGTGATTTATTTATATCTTTGGAAAGCTGAATCTCCTGCTGCACAACACATTTACCTTTCTAGGTACCAAGAAAGGAACCGTGAATCTTGAAGAGTAACTTTTTAATCTGTTTGATAGCTAGCCTTCAAAGTTTATACCCCAAACACATGTGGTGAACATGTGCAGATGAAATGTCTGAGTGAACATTAAAAATGTTGTGAAATTTGCTGTGACAACATAAGATTATCAAATATAATCTGTCTTTCTATGTGTGTGAATAACTCTTCTTGGCATATTTAAGGAACTGTACATCTGATCCATCATTTATCAGATCTTTGACCTTAAGTTTGGACAGTGTTTTGCCTAAAGGAGTAAAGTGTAAATCTGATGAGGGGTTCACAAAACTGCCAGAGGCAGCCATATTGTTATTTTCTCAGCACCTTCTGGAGACAGTTGGTCTGCTCCAAACAGACCAAGTTAAACTTAACTCTGAGAGGGGGAATAAACTTCTCACAATCACTAATAAACTTTCAATTAACATTTCAAGAAAACTGTGTTCCTCAAGAGAGTGTTACAAAATGTGTTTATGTACCAAAAATATCAGCTGGGAAATTGTAAATTAAAGCGGATTTAGTATTATATCTATAAGAAAAAAAAGTCAAACAAGGACATTGATGATAGATTTTAGGTTGGAAGTTGTTCTTGTCATGGCAGAAAACCGTCTCAAACTGTATTTCGTACATACTAAAATACTCAAAACAAGATTATTATCTACTCTTTAACCGTTGGATGAAAACTGAAGTGATTTGTGTAATGGATACCATTCCCAAACATAATCAATTTCAACAGGCTCATTCTGTCCCTGTCCAATAAAATGACCCAAAAAGTAAAAGTAATACTGGTTGTTAAAAAGAGAGAAGACAATCTTTGCAGAGACACAGGGAGGTTTTAGAGATGTTTGTTTCTAATGCTGCAGATCAGAGTAGTAATCATATTCTGCCCTCAGCTAAGTTCCTAATATGTAAAAACATAGCTGCTGGTTTTACCTTGACCTCTCGCTCTTGAAGGCCTTTGGCTGAGTGAGCTTTGACGTGCTTTCGTAACGAGCTGGGATCAGTGTAGCGTTTGGTGCATCCCGGGATCTGACAGGCGTACGGCTTCTGTGAATGAACAGTAACGAGAAGAGATCATGTTTCAGCAAAAAGACATGTGACGCACAACATGAAAAACATGAACCTCTCTCTTTGTGTTCACTCCATAGATACTATTATCAAGGTCATTTATATACCATTTTACAACACAATGTTGCAAAGTGAAGTGCACATTCCTTTAATGCTAAAACCTTCAATAAAGTACAAAAACACAAGTGAAAACATGTATAAACATCCATTGATACATGATATGTCTATACACAACCGCAATATAACAATTCTGTCCTGTATTTCTTCTTTTCAAGGTCATTTCTGAATATCAGGCCTTTATTGATATAGCAGTGGATAGAGTATGAAACTGGGATGAGAGAGCGTGTGAAATGACATGCGGGAAAAGAGGCGCAGGTTTGAGCCGAACCCGTTTCATCTGTTAACATGGAGGAGGTGGGTTCAATGACCTGTACTGCGGCCAGTCAGTAGTGGGAACTCTAAATGTTTGACTTCACTTTTTGTTTGGAGCTGAAATGTTGTCCATCTTTTTATACAGTCTATGCTCTATATACCTACTCTGTACACTGACACATGTTAAGGTCAAAACACTCACCCCACAATACTTTGTGGTTTATTCCGTCACACTGGATATGATGTCAAACCCAAAATATGTGTTTACAAATATAAGCACAAGTTCAGTTGAGTCACATCCAGAGTGTTTGCATGTGTGATGCTGAACACAGTAGTGCTGTGTATTATACACCCAAACATTTAGGATAAATGCTGCAGATGTAGTTTACTTAGTGTGACATCTGTGCTCACAGAGAAAGGAAGCACATGTACATTGTGTCAACATTTTACATAATCTACTCTTGAGACGAGAGTAAAGTATATTTACCTATCATCTGCAGGCTTATAGAGGAAGAGAGAGAGAGAGATAGAGAAAGAGAGGAGAGTTAAGAGGAACAGCTCAGTGCACAGACATTCTCCAGTTAAGTGTAAATACATATATATAAAACAAAAACATGCATTCCATATTTAAATGAAAATTAAATGACAAAAATTCCTCTGCTTTTTCAGATTTCCTTTATTGCTTAAGTGTGATTTTATTTGAAAAGTAAAGACATTATGAAAAACCTCTTGGAACATGCGTTTGGGAAAATCCTTAAGGTCTTATATGCAAATTCAAATGAGTAAAGAGAAAGTGGTGAATTCAGGGATCAGCTGTTGAAAAGAAGTGAAACCATGATACGCTGATTGTTGTCAATAATAATTAAAAAGTGAGAGACAAGTGACATGTTGTAAAGCAGTAAGTCTGACATCTTGTCTGTGACACTTAACAACAAAAAGATAATTTATTCATAGAAGTGATTTCCAACTTTTTTTATATGCTCATTTGTCTTTTTTTGTAATTACTTACAGATGTGAATATATTTCAAATTTGAGCTCTTTAGCTACTCTTTCAAAGATGTGACATCGAAGAGAGTAACCTCCTGCAGGGTCTTACGTCACATGCAAAAGTTGGGCAATGTCTTCGTCTTATGAAATATTCCCCGAGAGGTGATCTGCATGCTCTAAAGGGAAAAGTCTGAATGAAACTTTAACCTTGACGATCCCTGTGTGCACATCTCAGTGCTGTCAGCTGCTAAAAATTAAGACATAAATTAATGATTAATGGCACGTCAGTCGGCATGTTCTGTGTATGTCAAAATTATACAAATATTGAAAGTGATAAATGGACAGGGATTAAACAAAGCCTTCCTGTTCAATGTTGCAATTCAAGATGTTACGAGTGTGAAGCTTAAACTCAAAACAGCAGATTAAAATGTTCTCTTTAGCTGCTTCATCGCTAAAGTCAGAAGAGAACATTTAAATCTGCTGTTTTCTTTAGTCACATACACGCATACAGCATTGGTTAATTAGTTTTCAACAACTGCTTAGTTATTCTAAGTAGTAAGCATGTAATGTAAAGGTAAATAACCTGCAGGAAATGGTGTGCAGTAATTGTTTATACTCATTAAAAAGCTCCAAACATGCCACATGTTGAAGTACTGTGAGCTGCAAATGGTAGTTTAGACATTCCAGCATTAGAATTCATTTGGGGAACAAATCCTTCATAACAATATTATTCATAACATTAGTAACACAATACAAGTTATTTAGTCAAACCTAAACAGCTTGAACAGACACCAGTCTTTTCCTGGCTGGATGTTATGCTATATTCAGCAATTATTTACATTTACTTCTCCACTGGACCTCAGCAATGGCGCCAAAAGTGTCCGATTCTTGATTTGTGACGCATCTGCAAAGCCGCTATTAGCCAGCGTGAAACCACAAAAAGGAGAAAATAACTCTCTCCTCTCGTTGTAATAACACTGGAGTGCATCTTAAAGCTCCATCTCACCCGTGTAATGAGAGATCTGATTTGCTGGATTAGCGCTAAGTCCCTCGTAGCTTGTCAGCAGGAGTAAAAATAACTGTGGTTTTTGTAGAATAAATCCGCAGCAGGTATGCAGTTTCACAATCCTACAGAAAGCTCAGACTGTATATCAGAGAGCTTGCAGAAAGAGGGGGGAAAGAGTGGAGCAGTGGCACTTTAAATTAAAGTGATTTGATGTGTGTTGAGTGCATTGCGTATTCCCGCTCATCACAAAGCAAATAGATTTATCATCGGGGTATCTACGTTTTTAAAGCCTGCAGGAGAATATGGTTTTATACCCTAACAGACATAAAACATATCTTGGCTTCATCTATGTGCTCAAGTGATAGATGTTTATCATTTAGACATAGAAGAGATGAGGTAAATGTTCCTAATGCCTTTATGCAGACAGGGCCCTTAATGGGAAAAAAGCACCACCTCCCTTTGGCATGGCACTCCTTCAACATGTTAAGACCCACAGTGCACTTTTTAAAAAAGAATCAAAATGGACTAAACATGAATAAATGATACTGTGTTTCTAATCTCCATCCTTGTAAATAATTTACCCATAATGGACCAGATCATTTTGGTTTTGTTACTATAGCTTCCAGCTGGTAGTCTCAAACACAGATGAGGAGCAAGCTAAAAAGTCTGTCTTTACATGACTTTCTTCACAACTCAACATACCCAAGATTTATAATTTCCTAGCATGAAGGTTTAGAAGTCACTTTTCAACACCTGTGCTTCTGAAATACTTACAAAGACCCATTTATGGACTTTAAGGTTTAAGATAGTTGTTCCTCCTTGAATAAAAGCCGCAATCCCACAGTGTCAAAATACCATATTACATGTAAAAGTACAGCATTTAAATTACTACCTATGCCTAGGTGTTGATAGATTTATAAGTTTTTCTTGTACATCAAGAACATTTATTAGCTGCTCACATGGCCATTAAAAACAAGTTTGAGTGTAAGTAATTGAGGACAATCCGTTTAGCAAATTATCTTAAATGTAATGAAAAAATAAGCACAATAAAATGAAAATACTATGTACTGCATACTACATTCAACAGCAGTATGTAGTAAGACTTCCGGTTGGTTGTTATTTTGCAGTATGCCAGCCTCGACTATGCTGGTTTCAGGTCTTGGAATGCCATTACAGTATAGCATCCACTGACGGTCTGAAAAAAGTGATTCATTTTGATTTTCATGATTTTGAGAATTAAAAAAAGATATTTGGTGGTATCTGTGTGTGGTTTGGTCTGATTGTGATTATTTCCCCTGGTATTATGGTCGTTGCTGTCAGTCACTTCCATCTCTGACACGGCGCTTTGAATTGTGGGAAACAGTACGCGAGAGTGGTCTGATGCTTACAGTAACTTTTTTGACTATTTTACTTATCTTTGGCATACTGTGGATCCTGCATTTGTTCTTATACTCTCATGCTGCATACTGCATTTTGGCCAAATGGACTAGGCGGTTTCGAGAACAGCCCAAGAGTGTGTGTGTGTGTGTGTGTGTGTGTGTGTGTGTGTGTGTGTGTGTGTGTATATATATATATATATATATATATATATATATATATATATACATACATACATGCTCCCCACAGATGGTCTTAATCAAGGCCAAATCAGCCAGAAACACACCTGACTCTGCACTGAGTTGATTCCTTCAACAACCTCAGTGAGAAGCAGAGAGAATGATCTCACACACGTCTACATCAGTTTCATCATCTAGACTACTTCATTTTAAATTCTGCTTCCTGTTAAGCAAGGGCAAAAGCATACAATGACAAGAAATTGGGTTGAGTCTCAGTTTAATTCATTTAGGCATGCATGCTGTATATACACCAATAACTAGTTTTTGCATTTGGAATAAACCATATTTACTTATTAAGTGAAATTCACCATTGAGTTAGAAAGCTACCCTCCACTCCACACTATAGGTTAGCAGCATACACTCCACACTAGGTCAGCATAGATGTAAATATAATATGGAATAAGACATGTGTAGTGTGGATGGCTGTATGTGCACTGACCGTGTCCAGATGTGTGCGCTGGTGTTTGGCTCGGTCACTGGAGTTACTGAAGGCTTTCAGGCAGCCGGGGTGCTGGCAGATGTACGGTTTCTCTCCTGTGTGGCTCCTCAGGTGTATCTTCAGGTTCTCCAGACGTGAGAATGCTTTGGGGCAGCCCTCAAACTGATGGGGAAAATATATAATAACAACAACATAAGGGTGATGAATATGTACGTTAAGTTTGATTACTTTATTGTCCTTTACTTTTCTATCTTCCTTTATGTTCATTTTAAATGTGTTGTTAATGTAGGACTGTTCTTTCTATCTGGACTGTCACTATCTAGAATATAAGTGTGTGTGTGGGTTTGTGTGTGTGAGGGGGGACCTGAGAATTATTAACTCAGTAGTTGCCGTTAGCTCTATGAAGTATTTTAGGGTTTTTCAGCTCATTATTTTGTTTTCCTAACACACAATTTTTCTTTTCTGGTCACTGGTGAACATAGTGAAGCATTTAGAAGCTAAGAAGACAGATGTTTCAGATTCTTCACCAGATGGTAAAGATCAATACAGAGTTAAAAGTGAGTGCTACTCAAAATGAATGATCCTGTTGTTCCATAACTCCTGGAGAGTAAATAAGCATCTGGTTGCTTACACGCTCACCATTTCTACTTAAATGGTGACGATACGTCAGTATTGTGTTAACAGCTTGTATCTGCTGTCCCCAATTGCCCCTAAAAAAGTGGCTTTCTATAGAAAGGTCTGTCATGGACAAGAATATGACTATCATTAAGACATGTTTGACAGCTCTTTACTTTAAGCACCCCATGTTTTTGGTGTAAGTTTGAGTATGCACAATATTCAGCCTACTACTGTTTAGTTCAGAAAGGAGTAAATGCTTGGTTTCTTGCTAAAATGAGGTAGAGAAGCTTTATTTGTAGTTTGTCCCATGGGTGGGTTTCACAGCTGATGATAGCAATGGGCTAGCGTACCGCTACAGCTTGACGTAGTGGTAGTTGGTTTTACTTTGTTGGCATGTGCTCATTTGTTGATATCAGACAGGTTTTCATCTAAATGTATCACAAATTTTAACCAAAAATTGAGAAAATGTGAATTTAAATAAATGACTGTTATGCAACTACTCAAGCATCAAGATAAAATGTAGAGGACATTTATACTCCAATGAGCTGAAAAAGAGGTCGTTTGGGACACAGAAACAACTTTTAGCCTTCATGGTCGAGTCAACACATTTTATAAACCACCAGTCAGTGGGGATTACTTGCTTGAACTTTGATTTCATTTTCTATTTTTTTTATGGTGACACATGTTGATCTTCTGAGCAGACCCCTTGGCATTAATATGAAACTGAAGAGTCTGCCACAGCAGTTTAGCCGGAGCAGATAATGTGAAGATGTAAGGCTGGTTTATACTTTGGTGAGGTGAATAGCAGCTTTCAGGACTTAAGCCTCTGTACATGGGGCACACACACTAACTGCTAGGCTACTAATCATTTCATTGGACCTTTAATGGCACAGTTAGTATATGGGTGAGTATTAAAATATATATCAACATAAATTTTAATAACCAAAAGAAATAAAACCATCAATACTTTTATCTTGTAATACAAATCACATTTAAATCCTCTCCTAATCTTTAATGTGTTGGCCTGTACCTAACACATAATAGATAATAGATATTGCTGTAGATCTGTGATCCAACAGAACTCGCCGCTGTAGAGGTAATTCATCACATTTATATTTATATTGAATCATAAACTTCAGGTAATAGCTGATTTCCATATAGCAAAACCACCTACACTTGCTCTCACACACACACACACACACACACACACACACACACACACACACACACACACACACACACACACACACACACACACACACACACACACACACACACACACACACACACACACACACACACACACACACACACACACACGCTGTGGTAGGTTCAAGCAAATATCAGAGTGAGCAGGAAATACAGCGCAGGCTGAACACAAAGCTTTACAGAAACTACCTCTTTTTAGTTTTGGGTTTTTGGTCAGTAGATAGAGTCTGAAATCTGGGTGAGAGAAAGTGGGAAAGGAGCCACAGGTCAAATTTCAACCTGGCCCCCTGCCTGGAGGATTACAGCCTCTGTACATGGGGCGCGCAAACTAACTACCAGGCCACTAGCGCCCTGAAACTTCTATTTCAATATCAGATCTTACAGACTTTCTGTTAAGTGTTTTTGTGTTTAAACAGAAATATTTTTCAAGGTTTGATTTCAATCCTGCTGGAGTCCCGACGAGATGATCACAAGAAAGATATTAAACATTTTTACAACTTCAAATCTTTCTTAATTCACTTTTTGTGGTGAATAAAATCTCAGATTTAGAGTGTTTTGAGGATCAAAGTGAAAATTATCCAATTTGTCCACCAGTCACTTATAAGGAAACAAGGCTAATCTTCAAACACTGAGTCATTAAGACCCAAGATGAAGGCATTGGTGTTTTTTTTAAAGGATAGCATGACGTTTAACATTAGGATAACATTAATGCCTCGTATTTAGATTTGAAAGTAGTGCAGATTGGTTTCTGAAACGGATGTTTTGCAAATCTTCAAATGAGAAACATGAGAACAGTGTGTTTGATCCAAACTAATCCAAAGGAAAATATGGAAACATTTCAGGCTTTTATTAGGTTGTGCTAATGAGTCAGTAAATGTCAGTCACCTCATTTAGTTTAAAAAGTTCATACATAAAAAAACACTACATCATTCTCACTAATTAAGCCAAGGTTTAAAATCGCCCTGAATAAACACAAAACAAACAAGAAAAAATGAAAAGCAGTGACTGATAAATCCAGCCCTCAAACTCTTTTTAATACACATCTCTGAGTGTTGGCACGCACAGATTATAGATTAAGTCTCTCCATGTTGTGGGAAACAAAATAAAACAACAGGTTTAACAATGTGCAGCTTTATATGAACTCAGTAGTGAGGACAAACAGTTTGAGTTGTTTCAAAGGAAGAAAGACTTAATTCCCCTCTAATCTGTCTTTTCGGATTAGCCCATGGCTACTGTAGTTAAAATATTATTCAACAATCAAACAAATGTAACCCTACCCTCACCAATAAATATGGCTCCTAAATAGAAACAGATTTAGAGAAGTCTCTGACAGAGGAAGCCTTTGAGAACAGATTAATTTCAGCTTGGTAACTTTATGTTCTTTGTTTCCTCACCAAGACAGTTTACAGAACAGTCTTTATTAATCCAGGAGAGTAATGTTTCCCTTTGAGATTAAAAAGGATTAAAGTTTATTCTGCACTTCAAATGCGTCAGTAAAGCCACTTGTCATGTTTCCAATTCTAATCTTTTGATTCTTGATGGGTTGATGGTCCATTTATAGAGGAGAATTAGATTGTGCCTTTGCTGTATTGTTTGCTCCTCTCCACAGGGACTACAGAGGGACATTAGTAATAAATCAAATGTGGTGCATGCAAGACCACTTTCCTACTTTTGAGCTCAAACAGATTCTTTTATTACACTAAAATCAATCAAATTAGATGTGTTCAGTACTTTCGGGAGGACGCTGGCGATTATTTATGGCATCCTCAACAAACCCCATGAATACCTCAACACCAACAATGACAGGTGACATTAACTCCTGCAATTAATGTACAGGAGAAAAGTATGTGATTTATGTTTTCTCCACCTGACATAAAACCAGAAAAAGAAAATAAAAAAAACATTTGGTTTTAAAAGCATTACAGACAAACAGTTTAACACTCCAATCAAACCTTGTCGTCTAGTACACCATATTTTTTACCTGCTCAACTCATGACACTTAACTCACAACTTGATAGGATAGGACGGGATAGGATGGGATGGGATGGGATGGCTTATCACATTCACAAATCTCACCATGTTCACACACTGATGTCAGAGGGTACTATGTAAAGTCAGTATTAACTAATGAGTTAACTTGACTCATTGAAAAGCTATGCTATCAGGAGTGATTTGGATTGACCGATGACACTATGACTTGGGAATTGTAAGAGCTGGGATCGGACCACCAACCTTCGATTATAAGACGATCAACTCTAACATGGAACCACAGCCACCCTTTTAACCTTATTCATGTCATAAAGGCAGGGAAATCTGTCATGGGCCCTGTAATGTCCTTAATTAAAATATCGATATTTGGCACCAGTGATTCTATTATTTAATCACATGAGTCAGGAACAACGATAAAGTGCTTCAAAGAAGCTCAGCAGGACACAATGTGACTTTGTTGTGATAAAATGGGATATCACGTCACTAGATGTTTAATATTTTAACATGCAACATAAAGCTCCCATCATCTTAACCAACTAGACCTATTTTAACCTCTTGTATAAACCTCAAAACCAGCAGAGGCTTTTTTGTACCCAATCTTACACAAACCTTTAGTTGAGAGTTTTAAAATTGTCAAACTTTTTTATTCTAATACTTCTGGCAAACTTTGACAAAATAAGCTGTCCTGTCAAATGTAGCATCAGTTAGAAAATGCATTCATGTGTTGCTCTAAATCGCAGCCATCCTGAAAATAGTCCCCAACAAAAGGGCTCTTTACCTCTGTTTGCTAAATCAACAGTGCCCAAATGTTAAAGCTAATTACAGAATCTTTTTACAAACATGACATTTTTGACCCTCTTTCAATAATGTGCAGCTTCAGGAGCGATTGACTTGAAAGACAGACATAGTGGAGTAAATACCAAGAGAAAATAAGACGCTGTTGGTTCTGGTCTTTTAATGGGATTTGTTGACAGAAAGGAAAATATACAACATCCAAAGATTTATCCTTAAATGTATCTAAAGTCATTTCAGCATCATAAATTATGAATGATTGCTCTACCACTGGGATTTCAAAATGCTTTGGGAACATGTGTTTATAACCTGAACAACACCTGTCTGATCTGAGGCTCGACATTACGAGCTGGTAAATACAGCTGAATTCATTAACCAACACTGACTGCATTCATGAGAAATACAGTTTCCATTGCAGCACCAGAATGACTTAATTTACATGTTTTGGCCTGAGCACATTACGAAAAATGAAATGACGTGACTCACATAGTTCAAGTGTGTCTAATGACGATGTTTTTGCGAAGCTGTTGATTTAATTTTATTAATCTGTTTGAGAGCAACTCGCCACAGACATATATTTACAAGCTGGCAGCAGATTAGGTCATTTTAATGAACTAATTCAATTAAATAGGAAGCGTGTCTTTGAGTGCAAATTTCTGAATTATTAATCGGAGTCTCGAGTTGCTGACAGCAGCCTAGTCGCTGGGGAATGACACAGAGAGAGTTAGTCACTGTCAGGGATGTGGATTTGGAAACAAACTGAAAGTCACCAAGGGATGAACGTGTTCAAACAGCGTAAGAGGTGTTTCAAAAAAATCAGTCGGACTTCATCTTTTGTTGTATTCTGGTGTTTTGAGTGTTAGTGTAAATTTCCTTTGTACAACTTGTTGGTTTGAAAGGAAAGACAGTGAATTTATATATGAATTTGAAAAAGGAAAAAAAAAGTGATGCCAAAGGGTTGTGCAGGGCAGGTGATACTGTATGTTAAACACACTTAAAGCTACATTGAGAAGTTTTTTAGCAGGTTATTAAACTTAGTTAGGTTAGACAATGATGTGCTGCGTCCCTATGCAAAGTATCGCAGTAGCAAAGTTATGTTAGTCTTCTTCGGTTCTGTTCTAATAAAATATGTTATCTTTGATTGACGAGACAAAGGCAGAGAGACTCACCATGCATTTGTTGGGTTTTTCTCCGGAGTGGACCCTCATGTGGATGAGCAGCTTGTAGCGAGCGTTGAAGGGTTTGTGTTGTCGCACGCAGCCAGCCCAGAAGCAGGAGAACTCTTCCCCTTTTCGCTGATCGATGTGCACCTTCTCGATGTGCCTCACCAGCTCCTCCTGGCTGCCGTAAGTAGCACTACAGTCGATCCAGTGACACATCTGCTCCTGTTGGTCCGCTGCGGGTTCCTGTCTTACAGGTCTGTTGTGTCCTGGGTAATGCAGCGGCGTGCTGTCCTGACTGTCGTGGCCTTGGAGGGGCTGGCCTGCTTGGAACAGCTCCCCCTGCTGATGGTTCATTTGAAACGGTTCCCTCTTACATGGTGAGAAATCATCTGCAGGCTCTTGTTTGATGGCGTGATACTCGTCCTGTAACTTTTGTTGTTGATGAGGAGTCTTGTTGCCTCTGGGTGCATCAGAGAGAGGCAAAGATGATGGGAAAAATAAAGAGGAAGAGGAGGAGGAAGAGGATAGAGAGGATGGTGGAGATCCAAAAGGAGGAGATGTAGCACAGCTTGTGAGCATGTAGGACAGAGGGAGGGATGGCTGGGGGTAACAGCTGAGTCTCTGGCTGTCGTTTTTAGGTTCTTTATGTGCTGTGGTAGCTAAGTCCTCCATAGTCTTATCTATGTGGGGTCCTGCTGTTTTACAGCTGAGCAGGGAGGTGAGGTCCCTACCCAGCGAAGACAGGGACATGGAAGTCCTAGGGAGATAACACATCCCCAGGCCACCTGAGTGTATCGAGGACTGACAGAAGCCACCAGAAGACAGCGGCGCCTGAAGCTCCTCAGCATCCTCAAACACACTTCCAAAACCAGGAAGGGTCAGCTGGACGTCTGGAGGCCCAAGGTCAGGGGGCCACATCCTGGGCCCTGCTTGCTGGCAACCACCAAGAGATCCTTTTAATAGAATTCTTGATGTGATAATTTCAGGGATCCATTGGATGTAGCACCATTAACAGCATCTTTCAGTTCACAAATGGGATATGTTTTCAGCAGCTGGCATCTTCTCTTTTGTATCCCGGGGATTTGTAGTCTTCTGTCATTTGTTCCACACTAAGTCAGTCATCGCTCATGCACTGTGGGAGACAGAAACCAAACCCAAATGAGTCACCTAAAAACAAAAAATGATAAAACAAAACACTTTCTGCAAAAGATCAAAAAACAGCTTTTATAACCAGCGGCGAATAAAGAGCCAGAATCATTGTAAATGCACGGATACAAAAGCTAGTTTGAACTACTTTATATAAATGTTCATAGTTTATTCCAGTGTTTCACAACTTAGTGTGACTCCCTCTCCTTAGGGTCACAAGAAACATATGGGTCTCTTCAGATGATTATTAGGAGAGGCTTAAAAAATAAAATGTAGTACTACACCAATCTGCATCCACCCCGCACCTCACCCGCTTAGCATTCCTCCCCCTAATCAAAATCTGGTGCATGCATTACCCATGATGCAACTAAACCGCCCATCGATCATTCAGAGACTTAGGTGTGTTGTGGTCGTAGCAGCTAACATAGGATTGAGATGCTAGCTTCAAGCAAAAATGGAGCGAGTTAGAGTTCTAGTGAGCTCACTTCTTAATCACTCCACACTTCTAAGACTTCTTTTTCAAGCTTGTAGTCTGACAGAGCGTGACTCAGATGACATCACCTGAGGCAGTTGATCACAATTTAAACAGCTATCCTTTGAGCCACAAAAGCATTTACATAACTTTGCACATATTAGTATAATTACTCCCCTACACATGTTGACAGTGACACATTTGAATGTAAAAAGTAGTGGGAGTTCTGTTTAAGTGTAGCACCAGAGTAAACTTACCACACAATGTGTCCCACCACTGTCGTCAACTGGTTTAAACTGAACCCTCTCTGGATTGATTTACGGCTATTTTGCGAAACTCTAGTATGACTCAGCTGCTGTGACAATTTGCCATGCTGCGTGAAGAGTTGAAACACACAACTCCAAATGTGTCACACTCAGTTAAATGTTTTCCCTTATTTCCAGTCATCCCCAACACTGTGTTCAATCATCAAGAACGAACTAAGCAAGATGACCAGCAGAGAAGGTCCCAGATGAAGTCAAACCAAAACAGTGTGTCCGACCCCCTTGTCAGCAGGCTTCAATCACACAACTCTTTGAGTGCGAAGCTGCTGCATTTGTTTATTTTGTTTCCTTTGAGCTGCTGTAACATTGCTGCAGGCATTACGGCCACCCCTGCAGCAAACAGCCAGGCGTTGTGTGGCAACTGATTGCCTGGAACCTTGTCCAGATGCCTGTTCACAGAGAAAGAGTAATGGAGCATATCTCTCCAGCGGCCCTGTGATGCAGGACAGGGTGGCTGGAAAGTGGCCGGTCAAATATAAACTACTCCTGTCACACACATACACACACACACACACACACACACACACACACACACACACACACACACACACACACACACACACACACACACACACACACACACACACACACACACACACACACACACACACACACACACACGGTAGCTGTACTGAGAAAAAGTCCTTGAGTTTTTATAGTGGCAGACTTGATTTCCTCTGTTCTCTGCCCTCTGCCAGATATTGATGATCTAATTTACAACAGGATTCTCGTCCCGTGTAATTAGACACAGGAAAGGTTCAATGAAATTTTTATGTGGATTTATTTTTTATTTTTTTAATGAGACATGGCTATGACGATGAGTAAGTTCACTTCCGTAGTTATATTAGCTGATGAAGGAGTCACTAAGTGTAGGTTCATGCCCGTAGTTTCCTGGTATAGTCTGGTTTATAGTTTTACGATTCTTCCCGTAAATTGCTGGAGTTCCCCCCCTAACCCCCACCAAAGTCATGTAGCAGAGCATTCATGGGAACTGTGGTTGAATCTTAATTAGAGAGGTTGGGATGTGTGTCTGTGTTGACAAGTTCACCAGTAATAATGATACTTGTGTAGCAGAAGTGGTTTGGTATAGTTGAAATATGATAATTGCAGCTTAGTACCTGTTGGATGTGAGAGCTAAAACCTTTATCAGAGTTTTGAGACTGTGGCCACAGTTGCAAACTAAATATTAGATTCACAAGAACACATAAAAAAACAACTACTTCTGATCAATGATCCACAACTGGTTCAATTTTAGCATCACACCAGGGCTCATAAACATCCAGCAGAGTAAAACCCAGCAGCAAATATAGCAAAAAGGGGGATGTTTTTCAGCACTGTCTTCTCACAAACCACCCTGGTCATCTTCCAGAAAGAAGAGTCAGACAGTAAAACTAAGAAAAGTGTCCCACAAAGCCTCAACCGAGCATGCAAACTGTATAAAATAGCAGGCGCATCTCATGTGGTGTCTTTTAAAGACTCACTTGCTGAGGCTAGCTAAACACAGCTGTGGCATTTCAGGACAAGCAAATGTGTACTTGTCTCAACAATAAGCACTCTGCTTCTTGAATTACAAACTTTTTGTGCGCTTTTTGGTTCAGCTGAAACATGAGGGGGGAAAAAAAAGGATCCTCATTGAAACAGAAAATGTGAACACACAGACAACCTTCAGTTTTCTAATCCAACCTTCCTGAATAATCCTTGATGGTGTTACAGAGGCGTCAGGGAGGATCATCTTAAACATGTGGGCTCAAACAAAAATCGCACTGAATCACAGCTGAAATTCATCACAGGCTAACATCAGAGTCTCTCACATGTATCTTTGTCAAATTAAACGTTACAGAGGAAGATGTTGCTCTTTTTATCTTTTCCTGATGAAGTGCACACTAGTGGTACAAATCAAATTGAAATATAAAAATAAAGTGGAAAAACTTCAATATGAGTTGAAGTCCTACATTCTAACACATTTTCACTGGTTTATATAATTCAAGAGTTGAGTGCATTCTGCAATCATCTCCCTAAAATCAGATGTTTATGTATTTTATTTATTTGTAATAAATGTTTCTACAATGTTTTGTGTTGTATGTATCAATATTTCTTATCAATAAGGTAGTCCGCAGGGAATCAGGGACAGTGTACAGTTTATGCCTTATAGGTCACACACTCTCTTTACTGAATGAACATTATGAAGGTAAATTAGTCTTTGTATGAAAGCATGTACAATAGATTTTCAGCATGAAGTAAACGCTAACATTAATAAGACCAATCAGACATATGGATATATGACCTTGTGTATGCAGGTTCATCTAAAAACTGATTTGCAGTGCTGAAATACTTTTATTACATTTTTTGTAAAAATCATATGAGGGTTTTACGAGTTTAGAAATGAGAACAAGCGTTGTAATGCCAAGTTTTTAGATTTTTAAATACATGGGGCACATTTTTGAGGGGTAGGAATACCCTCAGGTGCAGTATATCGGAGGTTAGTACAATATGTTTGCAACAGAACAAAATCTCATAAATGTGTGCCTGGCTGTCCTTGAAAGAAAACATGTGGATTACCAAACTAGATTCACAAGTGTCACTTTTGTTTTTAAAGGTGACATGAGAACTGTGTATCCCGATGACAGGGAAAGTTGGCTGCAGGGGGAAAGTTTACACTTCACTTCATAATTTGTGCCTCAGGGCCTCCACTGTTGAAAAATAGGTTAATCCTGTGAAACCAATTTTGAGAGCTGTGACTAAGCCAACAAATCACATTTTACTCTCCTCTGGTTATGCACCTTTTTTTTCATCCACAGGAAACTGAATTAGTAACACATACTTTTCTTCTCTGCCGCCTCCTTTACATTAGAACAGGCACACATTTAGATAAACACCTTTGGACATGTTCAGAAAAACAAGAGTTTGCTGTAGTGAAGCACTATGCAGGGGGACATTAGAAGAGATACATTTTTAGAGACAACTAAGTGTCACTTTTTCAAGCTGCCTGGCCAATATTTCTCAAATACGTCAGGAAAATAATCGGCAACCCTTGCAGACACCACACAACTTTCTACAAATGGCTCAAAATCTTTAATGTCAGACACAAGACGCATCTATCCATACATTTAGTCACTATACTAATTATATTAGATTCCTCTTTATTGTCAATGCACACGGACAAATACATTAAGTTAACATCTCCCTCAGCCTTTGCAAAACACTAATAAATCTGTTCGCAAAATCCAGGATAATTTAAGTCCAGCTTCAACAGATGTCTTGAAAATATGTTTTGCATACCGTCTTTGTTGCAACATCTATATCATCAATATTTCAGTTCTATACCTATGTGTCCAAACCTTTATTTTTTCGTGTTCATAGTATGCAAAATCTACCAAATCATGCTCCATATAATGTCAAAATGACTAAGAAATGAAATTGGCGATGATAAATTATGGATTGCAAACACAATATGTCAATACAGATACATTTTAGGATGTTGGCCTTTAAATTACAAGAAATCACACCGCAGAAACAACATAGAAATAAGAATCTTTTTTTCTACTAAATGTTAATGCCTGAAAGTTTTTACAGGTTTGTGGTTTTTTCAACTGTTTATCTCTTCTTTGTTGTTATCCATTTTTCCAGAAATTTAAAATTGTGCTACAATCTTCATCGGTCTTGATAACTCAAAGAGGAAACAGAGGTAACCTGTAGAAAAGGCTCAGCTCAGGCCTCGCTTTAAATAACAGTCCTGAGATTTAAATCCAGCTACCCACAAGTTATACAGAAGTGACAGTAATCATATTGTAACATAGAGCCCCTTTAAACATTTAACAGCTTAAATTAAATTAAGTTATTATTGTCTTTGTATGACATCATACAATAAGATTAAGTTCGCTATAGCTGTGGTTTTGGACATTTTACACAAACAACCTTTTCTGTGTCAGTTTTTAGGAAATCAGTGCACACTTTCATCATTTCACAGCTTACATATAACACACTCATCTTCAATAAATATTTGAGAAAAGGACAGATCCAAAGCAGAGGTTTTTAAGTCTTTCCACAGTTAGGATCAAACACATTGCTGAGTTACTGTTTGAACACATATCTGCCTGCTGTGGGACTAACAGCTGGTATTTTCTGTTCATACTCTGGGAGTTCAATCTAGGTCTGAGTCTTCAAGGACACGCAGAAGAGTTTGTCCGCTTG